CATGTTCCTCACCATCTCAGCAGCAGTCAACCACTACTGATGGATGTTACTAATTTGCTCACATGATCCAACTCAGGCAGTTGTACTAACACTACAATGGCACCCATCATCCATTACTCAACAGAACCCAGACATGATGAGCAGATGTTCTTCCAAGCTCTCATCTGCAGTCTCTTGAGGATCCAGCATGCTTCCCTTCTTTTACAGTATCTCCATTAGGCCACTGCAGAGACAGAAATCCATCACAGGCCCTAAAGAGCTGAGGGCACTAACATAATATTGGGAAGGAAGGATAGGAAGTGTGACAGAAGAGCAACCTAACCAAACACTTCATTGAATTGAAACTCAGCAAGGAAAGGTTAAATCGAGGATGGTAAGAGACCAGGGATGGGCAATTATTTTGACTAGAAAGCCAATGAATAAGTTTTGCTGAGCTATTGAGGGCTGTGGGGGAAGAGGTGCAGCAAGAGATGCCAATTGATCCTATCCTGCCTGCCAGCAGAAGCCTGAGGAGGGAGGGTTGTGCCCCACGCTGCTTTGCCGTGCTGCAGCTGGGACCGGAGCCAGGGCCAGGCTGTGCAGTGCAGCACGTAGACTCCTCCACATCCCAGCAATCCACCTCCCACCCAGCTTCTTAGTGCTTCACAGTCATTGCACTGTGGCTGCCAGCAGCAGGGCCCACATGGGACAGGTTGCAGTGCAGCACACCAAGTAGCCATACTATCTGCCTGCTGCGATAAGACATTGCCATTACACTGCACCACCAGAAAAGCCAGGGGCAGCTGTCCCAGGCTGAGTCCTTCCCATGGCCAACACAAACTCATTTAGCAGCGCTGTGATGGCAGCAGCTCATTGCAGCAGGTGAGCAGGACAGCTACTCAGTGCAGTACATCTCACCCTGTCCCATGCAGGCCTGGCTACTAGTGGCCATGGTGCTAGAACTGTACAGCAGTGCAAACAGGAAGCCAGGTGGGAGGTGCAGTAGTGGAGAAGTCCACGTGCTGAGCAGCCTGGCTCAGCCCTGGTTAAGGTGGAGTAGAGCTGCACAAGGTGCAGCCCTCCTTTAGGCTTCCAGTGGCGGCTGGATAGAAGCAACTAGCAAGCTGGATATGGCCCGCAGGCCATATTTTGCCCACCCCTGTAATAGACTGTTCTGTTGCTGCAGCTGACAGGACAAGGAGTAACATTCTTAAGTTACAACAGGGGAGATTTAGGTTGGATATAAGGAAGAACTTTCTATGAGGATGGTTAAGCCTTGGAACAAACTACTGGGAGAGGTTATGGAACCTCCATTCTTTGAAGTTAGTAAGAGCAAATTACACTAATGCTTTGACTGGCATAATTTAGACATAAATGAACGTAACCTTGAGCCAAGGGGTTGGACTAGATGACTAGATCCTGAGGTCCATTCCAGCCCCACGTTTTTATTATATTATTTTCCCATCTTTTTCTAATGACCTCAGAAGACAGTGCCACCAGGGTGAAGAGCAGCTGATGGAACAAGGACAAAACTGAAACAACTGAAGGAGAAAATAATAGAAAGAGGCTGGTGATCCACCTAGTTCTGTTTATCAGTTGGTTCAAAGCTTCATAGTTCTATCCAAATCATTACTATACCAGGATAACCTCCAAAGTTCTTCTATAAATTTTTAAATAAAAGCAACACACACATATGTTTTTCAGCTCACTAGGAAACATGGTGCCTTTTGCCCTTGTAAGGAGCTGGCCAATGGTAGAGTTGCTTTTTGCCTAAATTGGATTGTCAAACTTAGTTGCTAAAAATGAAGAATACAAAACAGAAGAGCCAGCTTGTGCAGAATGTTATGTCACATCCACTATCTCAACAAGAAAAGATTCCATGAGCATGTATGCCTAATAGGCACTATTCTCGCCTGCAGCTCCCAGTTAAAGACAAGGGCTCAAGAGGTAATCTCATCTATGTATATGATCCACACCAAGACCTCTTGGAGAGAAAAACTCACAGAACACAAAATAAAACAAAGAACCAGTGTGGCAAAACATTTCTGGTTCAGGGAGTTTGATTACACAATGAACTTCCACTGTAAATCTAATCAATTCTGTATTTCAGCTACTTGACAATACTGTATATAAAAAACTATATATGAACACATCCAAGCAGAACGTAACTCCATGAAGCCCAACAGACATCAACCATACTGACCTAAATTTTACTCTGCAGCACAAAGGGATCAAATCAAATGGGGCTTGGGGATTGTAACATCCAATGTTGCAAAGTAGAAATTGCAAAGTGAACCAAAATAGAATCCAGAAACATGAGTTAGATGCCTGGACTCCCTACCTATTGCACAGAAGAAGTTACAGTAGGATTCAGAATAACTTCTGGTGAGCTGAATGCTGAAGACAGTCATGCATGTCACAGACTCATTCAGGGCTGCAGCGGGGTGCCTGCCTCCTAGAGTTTGTAATGAATGTAGACTAAAGTCCTTTCTTTCCCAAAATAAGTAGAAATCACTTTCTTCTTTTAAACACCTTACTGGAGCAAGAACCCCTATTATACATTTGGGTGGTTTGAGCTCTCACCTCATCACTAGGCTATAGATCAGGCTCCCTCTTAGTCCAGCAAATCTGGTCTTCTTTTCTGACTGGTAACCCTCTTTCAATAGGTGGGGTGGGGAGTGGCCCCATCCTAGAACAGCAAATAGCTTGGTGGGTAGGCGCTCTCCACCAGGAGATGCTAGTCTGAATCCCCTTAGAGGAAGGAGCCAAATACTGGTACTTCCTAGGTAAGGGCTCCTCCCATTGGCTATAGAAAGGATTGTGGTGTGTTAAGGCACTTCACTCTTGGCTCATTATGGTAGGCAAGATTAGAGAAAGCCTGTTGAATCAAGCTGCCCAGGGGAGATAGGCAGAGGAACATCTAGCTTTTGGATCCTGGGCAGTCTTAAGCACCACACCACTCAACCCTGGCAAGACAATTACAGGATTATGGTGGCAAGATCCCACAAGTTGTGGTAGCAGTAGAATGTGCCAAGGCAGATTTCAAAACTGATTTTGTACCTAGGCCCAGCTAAGTGTTTTTTGTGACTGTGTCCTTGAGATAGCATACTAACAGGCATTACAGAAAAATAATATGGTAGAGATAAGACAGCTGAGAAGACCCAATACTGTAAATACAGTAAGTGTGCTAATAATTAGATAATGCTGCATGCTATAAGATTTTCATAGTTTGGTCTGTCGGCCATCACAGTGGACAATGCAGGACCCAAGCAACAAAGGCTTAGGAGCTGGGTGAGTAGCAGGGAACTGAGAGAAAGTCTCACAGGTAGCAAGTCACAGAACAAAGTACATAGTGCTCTCAGAAACCTGGAAGTCCTCATTTCCTACCTACTAGCTACAGAAAGGGGCCTCCAAATCTTTCATTCTGTTAATTGTTGGTAAAGAAAAAAAAACATTGTTACAGACAACAGCCCTTCGCCATGGCCCTCTGAAATTTTTAGTGCTCATTTGGAGCTGCAGGCAAGTGTATCCTGTGCCTACAATGCTAAATGGGCACTACCAGAGAGAGGCCAAGGCAGGCAGCGGAGTTTTTGGAGGGAGAGAGTGATGATGGTTGAGTCACTTCTGAAGTTACAGTGCTAACAGTTCAGCCCCTCTGCCTGTGGCACCCAGTGGGTCCTATCCAAGGGCAACTGCTATATCACTGATGGCAAAGTATACAACAGTAGCTTATATGATGTAACAGTGGAAATCTGGGTTAGCATCCTATAGCATTGCTACAAGCTCAGGTACAGAGCTGGATTCCAGCTTTTTTCACCACCTAAGCAATAAAACATGCAGCCTTCTAGGGTAAGTACAAAGGAATGTATTTTCTTGGCTCGGACTTCCTCTGTGGTCCTGGTTTAACTATTGATTTTATCACACCATCCATAAAAGGAGTTAGGAAGGCTTATCCACCTCACTGGCATAGTGTGACTATGTTGCTCCAGTGAAGCAAGGCCCTACATTTACCTTCAGTATTCATCTGCTGGTAATGTCAGTTTCTGGAAGTTGTATCCAGTCAGTTGCAAAGTATGTTCTAGGTATCAGTGGATGGGGTCCTATCAATTTTGTAGGAAAGTACATATAAAAAGCACCTGATTTCCACCAAAAAAATTGTTATGCTTTTTGTGGGGGGCTGATGGTGAATCAGAGCCCTGAAAGCTTCCTCTGCCTGCACCAAAGGGGCATTATGTGAGCCTGATTTTTTTGGAACTTAGGTTGCATGAAGCCTCTTGCCTCACCTTTTCAGCTAGGTTTTCTCCATCTCTCATTCTGATAGCACCCCTTTTTTCTTCCTTTGATGCTTATGGAGCAACTACTTGGTATATCAGTGTTTTTCCTCAGCTACTGGCTGCTGTGAAAAGAAATCACTTCTTGTGAGTAGCGAGACCTTTGGAGTGTGTTAAGGCAGTACAGAGAAGCGGTATGATCTTGACTCTGACTCCACACGTGGCTTTTGGCTAATGGTTGATTTGTTGCTCCACTTACTAAAGCAAGAATAATGATTACTGTCTTGCAGATATGGTATAACTGTTTGTCAACTGCTTTGAAAATTAGGAAGGCCACAAATACAAAAGCACAGTAAGTTTGGGAGCTCAGAACCCAATGCTGGGTCAGAATCCAATGCTGGGTTTGCAACGGTTAGGTGTAAAGTAGTTTTATTTTTTCAGGTGAAAAGTATGCATCTTAAGACAGACTGCAGCAAGGTCCTGATTACTGTTCTAGAGTGTGCGCCGGAACTGCTCCATTTGATACCTGATATTAAATACTATTTAAAATATAGCCACTAGAATGGGCAGAATTTAATTTGACTTCTCAAAATTTGAGCACTTCTAGAAAACTAACAGCATTTGGGGAAATCTGTTGCTGCTGGTCTCAAGGTACTCTGTGAAAAGCAAAAGTTATAGTATGACTTGCAAGTGTCTATTTTTCCACTGTAATGGAGGAAAGCAGACAGGAGCCAATGTTGGGTACAAAGCAGTATTTATATATTTATTTATATCGGTATATTTACCTCCAGCATAAAACATAAGTCTAGATAAGCCAAACAAAAAGTTGGGGAGTCCTGAGAACCAGCACCCCAAAATTCAGCAAAATATAAATACAAATCAAAGAGAAAAGGGGGAAGCCAGGCTTTCCCCCAGAGCAAAAAAAAACAAATAATCATTAATAACATCTGCTAAGAATGTAACTCTACAAATCTGCTGGCAATATACAGTGATTAAAGCTGTGACAGCAACACTTAAACCAAACAAATTAGTGCTTAACTTTTTCCTTAATCTGTGCAGTGGTGGCAGCGCAATTTCTATTTACAGGCTTTTAAGCTTTAACAGGAGGCCAAAAGGCTTATGAATTTGCTTTTGAAACAAACTCCAAAACAGCCAAACTTCAGAAAGTGGCTCTGTGTTCACACTTGTCTTCCTCCCAGCCAAGGATGTCTAAAGAGATGGAGCTTCAGGTTTCCAGAAACAGAGAGAAAGTTGCTCCCTGCTTGCAAGGTTGGAAACAGTAGCTCAGAGCTCCCTCTGTCTCATGCAGGGAAAGGCCTGATTGTTAACTCTTGCTGTTACTATTTTCAAAGAGGTAAAAACATCTCTTGCTGCAGGTGAGTAAAGCAGAGACAACTTTCTCTGGTGGTCTCCACAGAGCACAATCATTTCTATGGACTGATGCCAGCATGTGACATTTTACCTGCTAACAAATGTACCGCACTCCTGTGAGACTCTGGTTCCTGCTTAGCTGACATACCATTCTGTCACTGCTGACAAGATCTGTATGTAGTTTGTAAATTACTTTTAGGATGAAAGGTGCTATAAAATGTAAGAAATCATAAAAGCACATTTGGAATCTGTTTTTATTGCATCTTGGAAATACCTAAGATGTTAGCTAGCCACTGCCATTTTTGCTTTAAAATGGTTTGGAGTGAGTAGGACTCACCCCTAGATTTTAATTATTGCCTTGACCTTTGGAAGGGGAAGTGAACACAGTACTGAGAAACTAACCAGCCATCCTTGTTGAGCCATCCCAGAGCATGTGTTACACATCTCACCTGCCGCCCCTGCATATAGGTCATGTTGACAGGAAAAGGTGCTAGAGAAGTTACTGCAAGCGTTCAAAACTGGCATTGGATGAAAGTACTGACTGATTCTATGCTGGAGCACCAGGGGATACTGGCACTACATCAGCACACTTCCACTAGCATGCAGCTTTCCACCACTGATATTCAACTTCCAGTGATTGCCCCCCCCAGCAGGTGCCTTCTTTTGTAGAGATGTGAAATGCACCTATGGATCCTCCTAACTGCTATCAGCCATTCCCTCTGAGAACACCACTGGGGGGAAGGGAGGGGATTGTTTGGTGGTGATTGCAGTGTCTTCAACCCTGGTCCCAACAGTGTGTAAGGACAGCTCTGCCTTTATTTAAAGTACAGGCATTCAATTCCACTCTGTTCAAAACAGAGAGGAAAAATACTGGCTGAACACGATAGTGTTAACCCTCAATTGAGTGCTCTCAGCAGGATATATGAGATTACTCACTTGAGCAGGTGTTTGCAAGATTGGGGCCACTGATTGCCAAACAGTGAACAAAAGCTGCCATATAAGAAATTTCCCAGCTTAAGGCCAGCAGAGTTCAAGGCAAGCACGGAAATCAATGTAAAAGCATCAAGTGTCTTTTCCAGAGTTGCATTGGAGAACTTTGTAAGCTGCTGACAGGATCACAGAGTCCTATTAAGAATGGAGCAGTGACTGTGGGCATATAGGGGCCTTCTGTTCTTCTCTACTGTGATGCCTGGAGTAGCACAGGCCTGCCCTAGTTGCCACATATTCAATACTCACTCTCTTGTTCCTCCCCGCCAGTTTTTAAGTGCATTTTAGTAAATAGATCATTACTATATGGTTAACAGAATTCTGCTTTCAGGACCAGAGTGGGAATTGAAAGCCAGGGCTGACCCTTAGGAGAGTTGCCCTCTGACTCCCACTGAAGTAATCAGGCATTGCAGACTTAGAGAGAAACAACCGGATCTCCTGGTTGTTTCTTATCCCCCAAATAAACTAATGCCCCCATCCCCTTGTTTTATCTGTAGTAAGTTAGAGGGTATTTATGATGTTTTGGGCATTATGCCTGGTTGGTTGTGTGAGGATTTGTTCCTGAAGATGTTAATTCTTGTCTAGGCTGATTAGACAAGGATGATCCTGCCTTGAGCAAGTGGTGGGACTCCTGAGGTCCCTGGCAGCCTAACTTGTCTATGATTCTCAGCTGGGGCAAGAGGGTGGGGAGGTTCCTGGAGTCCGTATAGGAACCATTTCTACATTTGGCCAAAAAGTGTGCAGCTGTTTTCCTGCAGCAACAGTGCCAGCTGGTGGTGAACCAAAGTAATTTGAAGCCATGCATTCTTTCCAGAGGTGTGACCTGAGCCAGCAGTTGGATGGCTGAGTTTGTCTTCACTAAAGGCAAGGGATGGTAATCATGGCTCCTGCCTTAGTACCTGGCCCCTGACACAGGTGCCCATCCCCAGTTTGGTTAAAGCTGCCTACATCAGGTGATGAGACTGTGCCACAGGTAAGACTGTTTCTCCTAGAGGAGCTTTCTAGTTTGGTTGAGGATGGAAGAACGGTGTTTCCTCCCCAGTTGCCTTAATTCCCCTCTTGAAGTAGCAGTCTGGTATGGCTCCTGACTCCAGAAAGGCAGAAACTTCCTTCCTGTGACGGAGTGGGGGAAAAGGGAAAGGAGCAGCCAGGAACTGACTGTATTTGTCAAAGTCTGACAAGCCCTACTGCCACAGTACCAGGACAGTTCTCAGGCTTCCAGACAGGGTAAAGCACCAGCCCCCTTTGGTTTCCTATGTAAGACGAAAATAGGTCAAAAATGACGAGTAAGAGGCCTATTTTTATACTGCTTTAAAAAGTCAGTAGTTTAGCAAGTTAAGACCTTGTAACAGTAAAACACCCAGCACACTCGGCAGGCCAACGGGCAACAGGGCCTACAGTCACTTTTGCTGGCCCCTCCTGCAGGAAATCCTCAGGGTAGGAGAATGGATTTGGCAGAGACCCCCTTGGGGAACAGCTCTGTATGCACCAGAAGATACTGTAAACCCAGCCCACCTGGCTGTCTAGCAGCCTTTCCCCCATTCTGCATTGCTGTCTTCACTGTTGGAACAGGACAGCCTCCACATCCATCCAATGACTGAAATAAGTGCAGGCTCCAGTAAGGAGCCCCTGCAAACTGGAGCCTCAGGCAGATGGGTGACTGCTTCTGGACCTGAGAAGCCTCTTTTCCCACATCTTTAGGAAAGGAGATAACACAAACAACCCCTTGCCTGCACAAGGAATGGCTTCAGCATAGTCTGAGCAGTTTATCTGGGAAGTCTGTCCATCCAGGCCTGCTCTTCATGGAGTGTAGGAAACAGGGAGGGAGCAAAGGGATCAAGAGGAATTCTGTGGCCTCCCTGGTTCTGCTCTTGGCAGAGTGCATGTCTGTGTGTGAGAAGCCTTCAGTTATGGGTTTTGGCTTCATTTAGAGTCCAGGAAATCAGGAATGCAGGGAAACGACTGCTGGCTGACCAGCAAGAACAGCAACTCCAGTGTCTGATTTCCAGTATGTCCAGAAGGAATTCCAGTGCTTCTGCATTAAAAAGCGCTCCAGTGTTGACAACAAATTCCAGTGTTGCAGAGAGCTGCTGCATTGCTTCAAAAAGCAATGGGCCCACTCAGGCTGGAGTTGCCAGCCATGCTGCAGTCACAGCTCTGAGGGGCTGGGATAAACCTGTCCATGCTCGATCCAGTGTAACACTCTTAGATCCAGTGTTGTAAGGGAGGGAGCAAGAGAGGAGGGAAAGAGTTCCTCAGGGTATTGTGGGATATGGTGTTTATAGGTATTGTGGCGCAGTTGCACTGTTCCATGTTCCTTGCTTGTTTTGCACTCAGTGTCTATGTTGTCTCCAGTTTGGAGTCTAGAGAGGAAGGCAGGAGCACAATGGGACTTGGGAGTTCACAGAGGAAGGTATGGAGCAGTCTAGAAGATTTTACCAGTTCCCTTCCTCTGTCCCATTAAAGGGCACTGGTGCAGCCAGGATTCACTTGCAGAGCCAATAAAACTGGAAATAATAGTCAGTGAAACGATGTCCCATTTGCTCAGTTGTGGCACTACAGTTGGTGTAGCCCTGTGGGAGACAGAGAACATCAAGGGAAGCTCTCAGGTTGGTGAGGATCCATACTGAACTCACCCACCTGCACTCTGAGGAAGAGGAGGATTACCTGGCCAAGCTCATATATGGCTCCCCACCCCCTCCCAGCTGACTGAAAAACAGGCCAACAGTCTCCCATCAGCTGTTGAGCTTGAGACATAAGCTCTGCATTTTCCCTTCTTCCACTCCTCCTCCTGTGCTTTAGTAAGTTTTGGCTTCTTGCAGCCCACCTAACTCCCCTTCTCCAGCAATGTGACTATCAGTGCCTCCCTGTGGTGAGAAGGATGATGGGTGGTAGGGCTCCCACAAGTTCCTCCCATAAGAAAGAGGACTTGAGACTGGACCAGGGTAGGAGGCTTAGCAATGAGGGCTGCTCTTCCTGGCTCCTGTCTTGGTCCCATAAGTTCAGATGTGAAACACTGCACTATTGCCCTAGACAGCAGAGAATGTAAAGCACATCTTCATACTTACAGGCCAGGCTACCCGAAAGTGGTAGGTGAATTCCTGGAATGACAGCATTACTATAGGCCAACGATGCATCCTTTCCTGAAGGGAAGGAGAAGACATGGTCACTGAATTCTAGGAGCAGACCTCAAGGACCATCTAGTTCCACTTCTGAACAGATGTAAGAGCTGTGGCTCCTAAACAACTGCACATAGCTCACATGCAACAGTTGAATCACTAATGTTTGGTGTTAGGCACCCTTGGTGACACAGATATAAAACATCTGGCTCCACTGCATTGGCTTCTCAGGCATCATCCTGCAAAGCCCAGAGAAAGGACTGGGGTCCCAGACACCAGTGGTGGAACTGGAGTGATGTGTGGGAGGGAACCCAAAATCCTGCACTGGCCATTAGAGAAACATGTCCAGCTGCAGAAGTGCCAGAGCAAGGGAGGTTGGCTGAGCTGACAGCAATTTGTTTGCAAAGGTGCCATGCTCACACTGCCTTACAAAATGCTAGGTGAGGAGATTTGCATATGCATGGGTTTAAATGATTTAAGCTAAAACCTGGATACCCCATTTGTAAACCTGTGGCTGGTGGAGTGGCCTCTTTATTAGGGTAGCTGCAGGGTGGGAGGAGGCAAAGAATGGTTGCCTGTAGAAAGAGGAGGGCTAAATGTCCTGTCCTACAGATTTAATGGGAAAATACAAAAATCACACCACTAAATTAGTAGGTGCAGACAGAGCAGCCAGTGAAAGGAAAGGGGTCAGGAATAAGGAAACAAATGGTGCTAAAGAGGATGGTGTCACAGAGGGAAACAGTAGTGCAGCGGGAGCAGGAGCAGGATAAGGAAGGAAAGGACACTGTTAATGTAAACCCAGTGGCCAGAGGCCTGTATGGGGATAGGAATAGAGGAATATAAGAAGTTAACATGACAACAGTGTCCCTGAGGTAGGGGGAGGTTTGCTGAAGGCTCTGAGGCTGTTGCGCTGCACAGTATCCAGGCCCTGCCTGTAGCCTGATTCAAGGGGTTTTGGCAGAAGTGAGGTAATTCCCTCACCTTGTGGGGCTGGAGACAAAGCAGCGCACTGAGAACCAGGGTCAACTGGCTGACCCCAAGCTTGGTGTCGCTGCAGCTAGATTGCTCCCCAAGCCAGAGCTTGCTCAAGTCTGTTCATTGTGTTTTGCAGGGTAGACATGGCCTCTGTCCTTTGAGGAATGCCACATCCCTACCTGGGTCCCTGTTGTACTGGTGGAGCTGTCGACACTCACGGCATCCTGACACGGCCTGCTGGAGTCAATGCCACAAAGGTAGATGGACACAGCCGAAGAGGCACTGGAGAGATGTGCATGAAGTGAGACAGGGAGCTACCACCAGAAGAGGTTGGTGGCTCTGAAACAGAACCCCAGCAGCTTCCCACTCCCTCCACTGTTACCCCAGCTCTACAGCCCACCCAGTAATTAGCTTCTCATGACCTGCCCTTTCCACCACATCTGTGTAGTCTACTCCACTCACAGCTACCTCCCAACCTGCCCCTTCAAACAACGGTCTCTCCTTTCATACAGCTACACCCTTCCCCACAAAAACTGCTCCTTCCCATCTTGCCCCCTGCATGCCTTGCCCCACTCATGGCTACCCCACAAATTGCCCCTTCCCATCAGTCCCAGAAAGAACTACTTAGTTCTTTCATGCACCTTTACCCTTATGCCCCATCAGAGCCAGACTTTTCATACAGTACTCCATTACCCATCACTTCCCCTCACACACCCCTACCTTCATAGTGCCCCCCATACCTTTCTGTTCCTTCTCCCAATATTAGCTCTTGAACCATGACCCTGCAATCTGATTATTCCCACTGCTCAGAGTAGAACTTGTTCCCCTACTCACAATAAAACTTGCCTTCTCTTCCCACTCTGCCCCTCTCCTTTTGCACCCATGCCCTTATTAGCCCTTTGTGCCTTCTCCACTCAGATTGTCACTCTGTTAGTCCCCTGCTTCCATGAGGTCACTGCTAAATTCTTCCCTGCAGCCCCCACTCTCAGGAATGGAAACCAACAGGAGGCAAGCCCCTTGACTCACTTCATCTCCAAGGTCATGTTGGTGTTCACTGCTGTGAGCTGGCTGATGGGAATGCGGTAGGTGAGGTTTCCCATCCTGTGGGGACAAATCAAGAAAGACCAAGGTTTAGCATCAATACAACCTACTTTGGGGAAAGGTCCATAGGGGAGGGCATCCTGCACCCTCCAGCAAAGCAAAGTGGCCATCACCCTAGTAGGGCTGTGCAGGCTTTTTGAGCAGAAAAGAATCCTCTGATCCTACTTTGGCTCACAGGACCTCAGCCTGATGGCCTCTTCTCACCAGTTCCAACAAAACTCTAGTGAGGAGCTGGGCCCAAGGATCAGCCATGAGTGATAGACCCTTCCACCCATCCCTGCCAAATAAGGCCTCAAACAGCAGCAACCCAAAGTCTTTAGAGGCCTATGGACCTCATGGAATGGGCTGGAGAAGTGACTCAGACCACTCCCTACTGGGACAGAAGAGTACATCCTAACCATTACTGAGCTGGGCAGTAATGAATCTCCTTGTTGGCATTGTCAACAGAGAAGCCAAGGATCGAGGGTGTGATGGAGAATGAACAAGAAGTCCACGGCAGGCTATGGCACAGTAGCTGGGCTGTGTCAGGGAAGCCAAACTAGCTGAACCTGTCCTATGCATAACAAGAGCTTCCATCCGCTGTGCAGACATTTTTGCTGCCATCAATGCTGGGCAGCATGAACCAGGCCCTCACTCACCTGCATGTGTCGCTAGTTGCACAGTACTGGGATGTGATGGCCATGCCAATTTCTACAATCTGTATGGAGTGGAGTAAAGGACTTGAGCCTGCAAGACAGGGGAGAGGTTACAGAGGAGCTGAAAGTATCCACCAGTCTGAGAAGAGACAGAGAAGTTAGGGTTGGGAGGGACATCTGTGAGGCCAGCTCTCCCCACCACTGCCACATTATGGATTCCTTCATCCTCATCACTAATTCCCCATCTCCCTCCACCTCCACCAGGCTGTGCTGGTCCCTGCCTGCAGCATCTCACTGACAAAGGGCAGCCTGGTGCTCTGCTGTAAGGGCTACAGCCAGTGTCCTCCAACAAATTCCTTCCCTTCACAATCAACTGCCAGTGTTTGGAAAAGCCATGTGCTCACAGGCCCTGGAAGCTTCTAGGTGAGCTAGGGCGCTTGTCCCTCGGAAAATAAAGTCTCTTGCATCTTGGGTGCATAACACTTCTCTCAGAGGAGCCTGAGAGTTAATTCCCGAATCCCCATTCAAACTCCCTTAGGCCACCCAGAACATTCTAGCCTCACCCCCCTCTGGCTCTGCACATAGCTCCCTGCACCACCACTTCTGCACCTATCAGAACAGGGGGCCTGCTCTGCCTCTGTGACATCAACCCTGAGCCTCTCTGTTGTGCTGGCAGAGAAGACAGAATCAGGAAAAGGTTCTCCCCCAGCTCCCTCTTGGACTTGAGCTGTCCTCTTATAGCTTCTTCACCTCCGCTACAGGTGTTGGGGTAGAACACACTTGGGATTGCAATAAGCCCTCTCCATATCCCCAAAGAGTTAGACATGTCCTTCAAACCCAACCCAGTCTGCAGACCATTGTGGTAGTGGCCACACCTTTTGCTCTGGCACCATCATGTGCCTAAAGTTGCGTATTTCAGTTGCCCATTTAGTTACTTGGGTTTGATGTGGAAACAGCTAAATGAGCTGGGAGGCTGGGGGTTGATGTGGCAGAGGCAGGGAGCTGAGAGAACTCAAGGCAGGAAGTAGCATATAGGGACTGGATGCACTTTGAGCATCTGGCATTTCTGAAAACTTCATCTCTAGGGTTTTAAAGACCCTCAATCCCCCAAAGGGCTTTAAAAGCACTAGGGAAAATTCAGAGCTGATGTAAGCAGATGCAGCTCCACTGAAGTCCACCAAGTGGTGCTGCAGCCTGGATAGTCATGTGCGAGTGGACAGGCATGCACCACGACCTGGCAGCTCTTGTCTTTGAGACCCAGTGTAACCCACTAGTCCTGTTTGATAGTGCAGGGAGGTAAAAGAGTGTCAACCTGACAGCCATCATGACAGCCATCATGTTGGGGAAGCAGCAATGGGTGTTACACCGTGTGCTCTGTATTTCTTCTGCCGACCTCTCAAACTCAGGCTGTGTGGTTGTGGAATGTGATGGAGTGAGATGCTGTCTCAATACCAAGGCCATCACTTTAGTATTGGGTACTCTGTCAGTTCCCAGTCAAGATTTCTGTTACACCCAGACAGGACTGGGAGACTGGAACCCCCCAGATAGTCGTAAGTGTGGCCAAAGTGTGGAGAAACAGAGGTCAGCAGGTCTAGGTCTGGAATGTGCTGTGTGAGATAGAAGGTATTAAGGGTTCTGTCAGGGGGGTATAGCTCAGTCAAAGAGGGGGCTTTGGTGTTCAATACAGCTTTGGCTTCTGTGAGAGGGTGCAGGGAGACAATTTAAGTTGTGTGGGACTGAGGTATAGGTTCAGGTTTAAAGATCAAGGCGACGGGGGGCAGGGGATGGAGATAAGTGACCTATCACTAAGATGTCTCAGGTTATCCATTATCACATGAATTTAACCAACCAGAGTGCAGAGCGGAGAAGGGAGGTCCACTTACCCTCCTGACTGGTGCCTGCCACCTGGGGTTGCTCACTCCCTGATGGGCTGACGCTGCGTTGCTGCCGGGCCTGCCCTTGTGGGAAGCTGTTGCGGGACAGTGAGAGCTGGGAGATGTACTTGGACTTGCTCTGGATGTGGGTGAAGGGGGAGGACGGGCTGGCATTGGGGCTGCCAAAGCCCTGCGATCTCTCAGGGTTCTTTGTCCACTTTGTGTGGGACATCACTTTCCCAGTGATGCCCCTGGATTTGGCTTTGATGTTCGTCACTGGCAGAAGTGATGTGTGGCTTTGGTCTGTGGGGAGAAGAAGATAAGCAACTGAGCTCAGAGAGCGGGGAGGCTGAGCTCAAAGAGAGAATGACCACTGCTCCACAGCAAGGCAGATCTCCCCACTGGGCATAGATATCTGAGACCAAATGCTTCTCCAACCATAAAGGGTGTGAGCTCAACTCAGAGGACATGTAGCTCATAACCAGGAAGAAATGGAGTTGTCTACCCCCCACCCCTCCCTCGTGGTGTATTCCTACCCCTGTAATGAGGTGAGCCCATCCCCACCCCTATGTGCCTGAAGTAAACTCCAGAGCTATAGAAGGCCATGTGAGTGTGAGGTCTGGTCTGGAAGCAGCAATCAGAGGACCCCTGACAAGGGAAGTCCAGACTCCCAGGGTGAAAGCAAAGTCGTGCAGTCCAGGCAAGTGCAGTGTTTAATGGTCAATGAATGACACCATTGGCCAGGGCCAACTGCCCCAGGGCTGCTGAGTGATATCATGCCCAGGGCAGATGCTCTTCACATTGAAGCACCAGACAGAGAAGAATGGAGAAAGCTGGCTCCTGAGCAGCTAACAGTAAGGCATGGCTAATGGCCCATCCAGCCTTGGCTCCAAATTAACACAGACATGGGGGTTCCAATACATGGTGGGGATGAAGCACGCAACCCCCGTGATGTTTTCAGCCCATGTAGCCCAATGTCTCCCAGAGTGGCAGTATAGATGCTGAGGGGAAGAGTATTTATGCACTGCCTGTCCAGACTAACCTGCCCCCTGCCCCTCCTCCTTTACACCTTCCAGGATTCAGACATCTAGGAAGACCAAACTCAAGAGACTGGAGCCCTAATTATCATATTTCATGCCCACTGATGGACCTGTCCTCCATGAATCTGCCCAGTCCCATTTTGAACGTGGTTAAATTAGCAGCCTCCCTAATATCTTGCGACAACCATGTCCACAAGTTAATTACATGCTGTGTGAAAAAGAACTTCTTGTTTGTTTTAAACCTGCTACCTAATAATGTCATCTTACATCCCATAGTTCTAGTACTGTGAGAGCAAGTAAATACCAGTAGTAAATCCCTATTTACTTTCTCCACATCATTCATGATTTTATAGACCTCTATCATATTCGACTTTAGTTGCGTTTGCTCTAAAGTCCTAGCCTATTTAGTTTCTCCTCATACAGAACCCTCTCCATACCCCTAATCATCCCTCATCTGTCCCTCTTCTACCTCTACTAAATCCCAGAACTGCATGCAGGTGTGGGTACATCATGGGTTTATACAATGGTATAATAACATTTTCTCTTTCGTTTTCAATTCCATTTTTAGTAATTCCCAACATCCTATTTGCATGGGCTGTGCTTACCTGTCCGGTTGGTGGCATGTGTGGGGCTGGTCTCAGAGACAGCAACAGAGGATGCATTGGTGGGAGTAGCAGAACAGCAGATGGAGAAGCATGGAGGGCTGAAGCATGCTAGCACACTTTGGCTGGACATGCCATGTGGCAAGTTGTGCATGTTTGTTGTGACTGCAAGACAAAGAGGGAGACTGAGTGAGCCAGCCCCAGAAGGGCAAGACAGCATCAGCAGCACTGACAGCCATGGTCTGAGACATGGCTACTCCCATTCATCAAAGTCCAGTCCCTGTGGGCCTCCTTTGCTGTGACATAGCCATATCATCTCTGGCATATGACAACCCTCAGGAACCACCAGTGCTGAGATAAGGCTATATCTTATGCACTAAATTATATCAGAGTATCTAGGAACCAATACTAGCCCTATCATGGTACATACTGTGTAAGGGGGCTCCGTTGCTGGGTGTACTGGGTGACATAGTAGAACGTACAACCTCTGTCTTGTCAAAGTTCTGATTTGATCTGAAATGCAGGAAAGTGTGCATTAGAGGGCAGGATGCAACCACCAAGGATGCTTGTCTACACCTGGAGGGAAGGCAAGTAAGAAGGGGCTGTGCAGTGATGGCAGATGATATATGAGGGTGTGGAGTGACAGCAAGAGCAGGAATGGAAATGGGGAAGGATGAAGGTTAGTGAGAGACAGCAGGGAAGGAAAGGGGAAGAATGCCAGATTGGAGAAAGAAAAGAAGGAAACAGTATGGGGGAGGGGGTCAGGACACGAGGACTACCACAGCAGGTCACAAAGGGGTCCAGCCACCTCCAAGGTCTGACCACGAGAAGTACCAGGTGCTTCAGACAGAGCCCTCTTTGATTGATTATGGCATAGCCTGGCCCTGAGCAGGTGTTTTCTCATCCCCAATCAGTCAGGGGTCAGTATGAGTTTTCACATCCTTTCTTGGGCTGCCTTAAGTAACCATACAGTGTACTTACCTGTGTACACGCTTAGGCTTTGCTCAAACCCTACCCACACCCCTGGTCTCTATCACTACTGTCCCATCAGCTCATTAGACTTTGCGTGATGGGTCTCCTGTCCCTTTCAACTGTCCTGCCCTTTCCATTTTGGTGAATGCCCCCTCACGCTTGGACTGTTAGAATGAAATGAGAAAAGAAGTGTTCAGTCTACTACCTCTGCCCTGTTCACTAGCTTATACTTTCCTCTCTAGCATTCATTTTTTCTCCAAACTGAACAGTCCCATCCATTTAGTCCCATCTCTTTGAATGACTTTGGATTTCCCTGTACTCTTCCCTGCCCACATCACTTTCCTTCTTGACATACTATGATCAGGACTGATGACGACAGATCCTGAGATGGGGAAAGCATGAGGGCAGCAGAACTAGGATGCTAGATTTCAAAAAGGCAGATTTCAACTGACTTAAGGAGTTAGTAGGCATGGTGCTATGGGAAGACAGACTGAAAGATGTCCTAGTGCCTAGGAGGGCTAGAGGCTTCTAAAGGGCACAGTCTTGGAAGCCCAACAAGAAACTGTTCCAACATGATGAAAGCACAACAAGGAGAGTAAGAGGCCCATGTGGCTGCTTAAGGAGCTTCTAAAATGCCTCAAATGCAAAAGAAAAGCATACAGCCAATGGAAAAAAAATGGCAGGTCACCAAGGAAGTGTACCAGAAAATAGCAAAAAACTGCAGAACAAAATCAGGAAGGCAAAGATATAGAATGAGCTGTACCTGGTGAGGAAGATTAAAGACAACAAGAAGAGGTTCCATAAGCATCTTGGCCAGAAGAGAAAGACCAAGGAAGCTGTGAGTCGCCACTGTTAAATAGCCAAGGGGAACTCTTAACAGAAGACGCAAAGGCAGAGCTACTCAAAAACTACTTTGCCTCAGTGTTCCCAAAATAATTAAGGTGCAACCAGACACTTAATAAAGATTATCTGAATAAGGAAGGAGGCAAGTTGAGGGATGGGTTAGCAAAAGAGACAGTCAGAGAGCTTTTGATGAGTCTGAACAAATTTAAGCAAGTAGGTCCTTGTGAACTTCATCCCAGGGTACTGAAGGAATTGGCAGTGGATATGTTGGAGCCCGTGGCAATAATATTTGGAAAGTTGCGGGAGACAGACGAGGTACCAGATGACTGGGAAAAGGCTAATGTAGTGCCCCTTTTTAAAAAAAGGCAATAAGGAGGACCCAGGGAACTACAGATTACACTTAGCCTCACCTCAATACCTGGGAAATTATTGGAGCATATCCAACAGAAGTCCATTTGCAAGCATCTGGAGGAGGAAAGACTGATAAAAAGAACCCAGCTTGGATTTACTAAGAACAAATCACGTCAAACAAATGTTCTCCTTCTTTGACAAAGTAACTACTTGAATGGATGAAGGGAATACTGTGGATATAGCCTATTTGGACTTCACTAAGGCTTTTGACAAGATCCCAAATGAGCTTCTTACAAACAGATTGGAGAAATGTGGGCTAGATAAAACTGCTGTAAGGTGGAAAACCAACTAGCTCAACAGCCACATCCAAAGGGTAATTATAAATGGATCTATGTCAGAACTGCAGGTTTTGAGTGGAGTCCCACAAGGGTCTGTCCTGGGCCAAGTGCTGTTCACCTCATTTATTCAATGGGTAATTTGGGTACTGGTATTGAAAGCTTCTTGAGCAAGTTTGGAGACAATACAAAACTGGGAAGGACTGCAAGCACACTGGAGGATGGGAGCACAGTTCAGAAGATTCTAAAGAAATAGCACAGCTGAGCTGGAATTAACAAAATGTAGTTCAGTGCTGACAAATGCCAGGTGCTACACCTTGGGAAGAATAATCAAAAATACAAATACAGTATGGGTGACACCTGGCTGGATGGCAGCACTACAGAGAAGAATCTGGAAACCTTGGTGGCTCATAGATTCACTATGAATCTGCAGTGTGATGCCATGCAAGGTAAATAAGGTTTTGGGATGCATCAGTAGAAGCATTAGGTGCAAGACACAGAAGGTGATCACACCTCTCAGCTCAGCACTGGCTAGGCCTTATCTTGAGTAGTGTGTGCAGTTTTGGGCCTCACAATTTAAAAAGGAGAAGGAGAAATTAGAGTCCAGGGGCAGCTAACAAAATGGTGTTGCCTCTCTGCTCAGAGTCAGACTCTGTTCGCCTTATTTGGAGGCAAGAAGGAATTTTACCCCATGGTCAGACAAGTACAGGCTGTGGGGGGTTTTGCCTTTGGGGTTACTGCCCTCTTCCTCAGATCTCTCAAATGTATTTTAACAACCATTACAGTAGCAGGACATTGGCTGCCATAGCCCCCCGGGTTTACCTGTGGCAGGTTAGGGTGTTATGTCAGGGTTGACTAGTTTTGCTAAGAGGTGAGACAATGGATTTGTATAGAATGGGCTGGATAGGCATAATCCTGCCTCAGGCAGAGAGTTGGACTAGATAACCTCTGGAGGTCCCTTCCTGCCATACTACTCTAAGATTCTATGACAGGACAGTAAGGAAGAGCAAGCTATTCATTAATACAGCAGCATCAGATAATGCTGTTGGGATTAGTCTCCAGTACGATTCCCTTACAGCCTTCACACTTCCTTTGGTGTACAGCTGCTTACTGAGCAGAGGTATTCCAATGAGCTTTCTACAATGATACCCTGGTATTTTCCTTGCCAGGTCACATTTAGAGCGCAAGAAGGCTGTATCTATTCTTTCTTCCCACACAGCCTGCTTTGTGTATATCAACACCACATTTCTTTTACCATCATATTCTCTATCCACCCCCTCACTTGCTTCAATCGTTCTCAGAGTTCCTCACCATCTTCCCTAGTCAAAGCAGTGTTGCATCTTCTGCTAGATTTGTTCCTTCCTTTTTAAGATCAGTAACAGCTATAGTCTTACAACACCAGGCTCTGTATGCAACCTTAGTGCTGTTACCACCGTGATGGAAACTAGCCAAAATCTCATTTACCTTTTGTGCAGCTGCATCACACTGCAGACTCATAATGAATCTATGAGCTACCAAGGCTCCCAGCAATTCAGACACTTGTCCCTGCACTGAAGTAAGGGCCTTGTTACTCATTACTTAACATGTGTTATATTTAGATTGCAGTATACATTAAAGTGACTTAAAGTTTTCCAAGCAGTTGCATGTTAATACTTACTACGATCTAAATATAGATTGTATTACTGCACTGGAGTGTTGAACTGGCTCCGGTGTGATCCCAGGTCCAAGACCAAAAATCACCTGGTATCACACTAGAGATAGTTCAAGGCTCCCGTGCAGTGTGAGGGTTGGGACTAGCTTCCATGCCATGCCAGTGTCACTCCCAGCCCCTGCACCATGCTTAAGCCTTAAACCAGCTACTGGGCAGTGTGGGGGCTGGATCTCAGCATCCCTCCTAGCCCCACACCAGAGCCTTGAACCTGAAAAGCTCTGGTGTGGTGGAAGGGTATGCAGGAAGGAAACCTGGCAAACAGCCTCCGGTGCAGTGAGTGTGAGGGCTGGAACCCAAGAAACAGCCAGTTCAAGGCTCCAATGCAGTAAGGTGGCTTGGGAGCCCAACAAACAGCTCGGGCTCCCAACCCTTCCCCATCGCACCAGTTTCCTGAAAGTATTATTTCCATAGAGTAATCTGACATTAGCTCAACACATGTTAGGTAATAAGCTCTGGAGATACTCCTTACCAGCGAAGTCCTAACTTTGCTACACTAAAATGACATTTCACATGTGATTAACTGCTTGAACATTTGGATGCTACTGTTGTACATGCAGTTAATTTGTGCTAAGTACAACATCTAACAAGGCCCTAAGACTTACTGAGCTATACTTTCCAAGATCTCTTTGAAAAATACCTGCTTCCTTCAGTTGTCTGGGGTAACTGCTTATCTGGGGGACACTGTACGTTTAAGCAGCAGCCCAACCTAAACTCCCTTTGAAAAGCTGATCAGGGTGGCCACTTGCCCTTTTAACTTATTAAAT